TTTTTTTTTTTTTTTTGTTTTACAAAATTATAGGACTATAATTATGTACGTATAAAAAAAAAAAGAAAAGAAAATGTTAAATATATTTATATATTTATATTTAGGAGAAAAATCAATCACAAAATTTATTTTATTTTCTATTTACATTATTCAAATATACAAAAAAAAAAGGCAACTGTTAATCCTTCTTATCTTTAATAAAAGCGTTTCACTTATTCCACCTCCTCTTCTCATAATTATCATGTAGCTGGTGCCAGGCGGAAATCTACCAAATGAATTTCCCTATTATCATCGAGAACACAAAGGATATATTGTATTTATAAAATCTTGAAAAGCATGCAAATATGCTTGAGAGACGCTTAAAATGCGTATGCATACCGTCTATCTGTCTGTCTGTCTGTCTGTCTTTTAAAATCACCTTTATGTACGCGATAATACATCCAGAAGAGCAAAAACGATTTTAAATTCTTGATTAGATTCAAATTCAAATCAAAAGTCATATATAAATAGTGTTAGCAATTTCTACACAAATATTATATATATAATATATTGCAGAGAAAAAGTTACGAAAGATCTTGCATAATTCTGCGTAGTAACAATAAAGCCGAATATCCTTTTTTAAATCTTTTTTTTTTTGGTTTACTTATGAAATTTTTAATATAGTACATCTTCACCGAATAAAATTTAAAATCATTGAAGTTTGAAATTTCTTATAAATTTTTTTATTTGCTGAACACATGAAGAGCTCAATAAACGATTTTACGATTAAGATTGATTCGCAATCATGCGAAAAGGTTAATTTAATGAAATTTTCTTTCCTGAATTGATGATATACATCATAAAACTCTCATGATATAATTTTTTTTGATTCTTATGCATATATAACACAGCATTTGTTATGGAAGATCTTTTTTGGTTCTGCGCAATAGTAATAAAAAAATTCATTCAAACGGAATATAATTTTTTATTTCTTTCTTTTTGAAATTATTACGGCACAATTTAAATTTCTTATAAATCCAGGATCTTAGGATTAAAATCGACTCGCAATCATACGAAAAGGTTGATTCAATGAAATTTTCTTTCACAAACTGATGATATATATCATAAAATTCTCATGATATAATTTTTTTTTTTTCAAATCTTTCAGGAAGGTTTGCATAGATCAAAAGGTGTATTATTTATCCATTTAAAAACAAAATTTTATATTAAAATAAAAAACATTTATACATAAACGATTTTTGTTTTAAAACCAAAAAAAAAAAAAAACGCTTTTCCGTTTATTATGAAGAAAAAAATTAGTAAATATTAAAGGGAAGCAAGCTTACAACTAAATCCATATAATAAAGAAAATACTAAATGAAAGAGTTCACAAAAAATATTATATTATCAGAAAATGACAAAAAAACAGAACACGTTCATGTATATTAAATTTTATGACAATTTACAAAGGTACATGTATATAATAATGGAAATTATGAATGTATGCCAAAATTGGAAAGAGAACAAAGAAAATAGTGAAGGGACAGAAAGTATAAAAATTATTTAATATATGATTTACTTTATTTATTTTTTTTATTTTTCTCTTTTTCTCTTTTGTTAATTAGGAGATGACTTTTTATTGAAATAAGAAATTCTATATATTAAAATGCTTTAATAAAAATTTATTAAAATTTAATAATAAAAGAACAGCATTATTAATAATAAAAAAAAAAACATCGTATCCTACTGTGAAAATTGAGAATTAAAGCGTACGCCTTTTTAACTTGAATACTTTAGAAAAGTCTCCACAGATAGGCGTTTATTATTTTCTTTTCATAAAGAAGAAAAAAGTCGATCGTCATAAGGGAAAAAAATCAACAGCAAATACATTATATTCTTTTAGATGAAATTTTATTCTTGAGCTCTCACATAGATAGCATTATTATAATAAGTATTGTTCCTTCCGATCGGAATCGGAATCTGTTAAAATTTGATTTTCAAATAAATATATATTATTATCCTTTTCACATTAATTAATAATATTATATTTTGAATAAATTTTAATTTTTTAAAACTGCTTCAATGACATTACTTTTTAAATTTTTTGCTCTGCTCTCACATATGCATTTTGTAAAATGCGAATTCTTTATCGTCATGTCAGCTATCGATAGCGAATTTTTAGATACAGAATTATCGATCATCACGATCCAGTTTTTAACTTAAAAATGGAAATATTAGTGGTATTAACCGTTGAGCCGCTGTCGGTGCGTGTATAAAATAAAAACAGGAAAAATAAACAGTTAAAGGAGAGTATATCTCATACACTGATATTTGGAGCACGTGGAAAAAACTTTCGTCATTTGAGTTTTTTTATTATAAATGAAATAATCATAATCATAATAATAATAATGAATTATTAAGAGTTATGGGGAAAAACGACAATGATAATAAGCAACAATCAGTAACGAGGTCTGTAAGTGCTGTGAGTACTGAGAGGGCTGAGAGGGAGGAAAGAACCGGTTTAACACATGAGTGCGGTGTATTTGCAGCAATTGCGTGCGGGGATTGGCCTACGCAAATCGATATTGCACATGTTATATGTTTAGGCCTTGTAGCATTACAGCACCGAGGACAGGAGAGTGCTGGCATAGCTACAAGCGAAGGCAATTGTTCTCCGAATTTTAACGTTCACAAGGGCATGGGTATGATTAGCAGTTTATTTACCGATGCGAATATTAAGAATCTTAAAGGAAATTTGGGTATCGGACATACTCGTTACTCGACATCGGGCGCTTCGGAGGTAGTAAATTGCCAACCATTGATATACAAGACCGCTCATGGACCTATGGGCGTGGCTCATAATGGAGAATTGGTGAATAGTGATTCGTTGCGTAAAGAAGTGTTGGGACGTGGCGTAGGATTAGTTACGGACACTGACAGTGAATTGATTGCTCAATCCTTATGCCGTCCGCCGGAAAAGGAAGATGGAAGAGAAGAAGTGCCCGAATTGAATGGGCCTGATTGGCCGGCACGTATTCGGCGCTTTATGAAATTGGCTCCTTTATCGTATTCTTTGGTTATTATGATAAAAGACAAAATCTACGCAGTACGTGACGTGTACGGCAATCGACCATTGTGCTTGGGTAAAATTGTACCCCTTAATGTTGGCAATCTTAAAGTGGAAGAAGCTAAGGCCGAAGGCTGGGTAGTATCTAGTGAATCATGCGGCTTTCTATCGATAGGCGCCCGCTATGTTCGCGAAGTGGAACCCGGTGAGATAATTGAATTAACTCGGCACGGTCATCGTACAGTAGATGTTCTCAAAGGGCCAAAATCTATGGCTTTTTGTATATTTGAGTATGTGTATTTTGCCCGCGGTGATTCCATATTTGAACGTCAAATGGTTTATTCGATGCGAATGCAAAGCGGTCGTCAATTAGCACGTGAGGCACCTTGCAAAGCGGATATTGTCAGCTCAGTACCAGAGTCCGGTACAGCAGCTGCTCACGGCTACGCTAAGGAATCAGGTTTGGAATTTGTAGAAGTGCTTTGCAAAAATCGTTACGTCGGTCGCACTTTCATACAACCATCAACAAGATTGAGACAATTAGGGGTCGCAAAAAAATTTGGTGCCTTGTCGGAGAATTTGGTTGGTAAACGATTGGTGCTAATTGACGATTCAATAGTAAGAGGCAATACGATTGGTCCCATCATAAAACTATTGAGAGATGCTGGCGCTTCAGAAGTGCATGTACGTGTGGCAAGCCCGCCATTATGTTATCCCTGTAACATGGGTATTAATATACCCACTCATGAGGAGCTCATTGCCAATAAATTGAATCCCGAAGAATTGGCTAAACAGGTGGGAGCCGATAGTCTAGAATATTTAAGCGTCGAAGGCCTTATTAAAGCGGTTAAACACAACCGTCAGCCTATGGATGCCTCCAAAAAAGGCTATTGCACTGCTTGCTTAACGGGTGAATATCCCACTCAATTAAGCTGGTAGAAGTTTAACTAAAATCTCATTAGATCAAATACGCAAATTTTTTACCTTAAAGTTAACACGAAATACCTCACAAAAACTATCAATTTTACTTCTGTTTTTTTTTTTATTAACCCACATAATTTTTTAAGAATTCAACTTGAAAATGCTTTCAACTTTCATGATTTGTCCCCATTTTTGGTAATCCATCATATTTTATATATCGAATTAACTTTTATTTTCCAAGCAATTCTATCTTTTTCTACAGCATTTAACAAGCAATGCGCACATAACGCCCATTGCATGCAATTTACGCAATGCTTACAAAAAAAAAAAAGAGAACATGTACTTAAGTTAATATTGTCTATTTTTTTTTTTTTTTTTATTTTATTTATAATTATATTTGGAAATAAATTAAAAGCTTTACTGAAAGCAAGTTTGAGTTTTTTTTTTTTCTACATTAAAAGCATACAAAAAATAAAAAAAATTCAATCATATTCCAGGTGTTTCCAAGCAAAAATACATATCATTGATTTATTTTACCCCGATTTGCTGGCATAGAGATATATTCTTTTATTTGCTTAATTAAAGTATAGGTATAAAGGTAAGAACTTGTAGGGGTCTTTAGCGAGAGTCCATATCAATTGGTTAAATTCTTCACTTTATTATAGATTGCTTCTTAAAGCATGTTTTCATAATCTTTAATCTCTAGTTCCTTCTCAATCATTTGACTGGCTAAATTGTCGAGAGTCTCTTGCATGCGTTGCCTTAGTGTCGGATTTTGTATAGAAGAAATTTCTTGAGCTTTTTGGGAATGTTGGGCCCTAATTTCGTTAAGATGACGTCTCAGTTCACTGATTTTTGCTCGTATCTGTTCAGCACGCATTTGTGGTGCGTCGATAGACGAATCTTCTTCGGAATCCGGACGTTTTCGTTCCTCAAAGAAACCAGGTGGCCCTCCCAGATTTGAAGTAGATCCGCAATATTTGGAGTCATCATTATCTCCTTGCTTAGGACTACCAGATAAGACTTTTCCGTAATCATTCAGATCTTCTTTAGAGTTATTAAGACTAACTCCTCCTACACTCAAATTAACATTATTGCCTCCAATGCCGCCAAGTGTTCCTCGTCCGATTAAAGAAAATCCCGACATACGCGAATCTTCAGCCGATAGGCGTGATGTATCATCTAAATCGCGCATATGAGAATCATTACGACGCGTTGCGTCTGCCTCATCGTCAGATGATGAAACTTCTTCACCAAAAATATCATGTTCACCCACTCCGCCGTTGGGCGGCCTATTGTTAGCGGCTTCTTCATCATCGCCCTCAGATTCGACATTAATGTCTTTTTGGAAAGATGAAACGCTCTTAGCTTTCCCCCTTTCGTTGGGAGCATCGTCTGGGAATTCTTCATCGGCTTCATTACGATCTTTACCGTGGTCCCCTGGCGAGCGTTTATCCAAATCTTCGTTAATAATTTCAAACTCCACTTTAACGGCATCATTATCAATGCGCAGCAAGCGTTTAACTTCTTTTTCGATTTCTGGAGCCTCTACATTTTTCTTTTTTAACGTCTTGCGGAAACGACGCTTGCGCACGTTTTTACAAGGCGGAGTAATCCCGTGTGCCCATAAGAACTTTTTATCTACCTTATTCGGATCTTTCTTTTTACCCTTATTTGGCGATTCATTATTATCCAAATCGTGAGGCTCTTCTTTACAAATCATCTAAGAGGATATGAAATTAATAAAATCTACTCAACCAACGATTCGTAATCCACTCACCATTTGGCATATATCAGCAGATTTGTAAAATGTTTTGTTGTCTATCGTTTTCAAACATTCTATGATCGTGGGTAAATCTACAACTTTTGCGTGTAGTAACCAGTGATCAAAACGTACTTCCCCGTACCTCAAATCGTTGTCTAGTTGTATGTTAAGGCGATCTTTTAAATTAGAATTTGGTGATTGTAAGGTCTCCCTCAGCACCTTGGCTGCCTCCTCGGGCAGTCTTAATATAAACTGATTTTCTAATTCTACACCATCATCACGCGGCTGCTTTGGTTCTTGTTTCGCTTTATCACTTTTTTTCTCAATCATTTCTTGTTTTTCCTTTTTTTTTTATTAGATTGTTATAGCGTTTATCGACCGCTCGAGAAATTATTGGTATTCAATCGGCAAGTCGTAGATTTTTCTCTCCGCTTTTGTATTATCTGCTTTAATTTAAATCGAAAACAATATTTTGTAAAAGGTAGACAATTTTTAGATGTGATAGTGGAGATCAAACTTAAAGAAGTTTATCGTTTCATAGCGATTGATCAAAATTAAAGAAGTTTATCGATAAAATCGACAACTTTGCCATCGCTAGAAAGTCAGTCGGGTAAAAAAAAAATCAATCAAGTCATATACGTAAAAAAATAAAAATTCTTGATAAAGAGATTGAAATGGAAACGCTCTGGAGTGGAATTACATTATGAATGAAGCTTTGAAATAGACAACGCAACTTGCGTGAGCGATACCGCGCACTCACTCCCTTTTTAAACTCCTCAAAATTATTGCAATTTCGCACCCCGGAGCAATGCCATCGAAACAGGAGATCCAAGAACGCACCTCCCTCCTATCTCCTGTTTTCGAACAAACATGAATGTAGAATTATGAAGCACATACGGCAGCTTTTAAGGCGATTTTAATGCGGACACCTGGTGATGACGTAAATATAACGCGACCTTTTTGATGAAAGTGATGCGATGATGCGCCACCAAGCAGTTACCACAAATGACTTAAAACAACGCAAACAAGATTATATTTCCAATTGGAGTAAAGTTTTGCAATACACATACTGCTTATAAAGCTTATTGGACCAAAACGCATATTTAATTCAGGATAATGTGGTAGAACCTTGCTTTGATTATCTCAAAGAGGAAGAAGTCATACTATGATTCCTTGATATATGAACGCCGTTGTGTGTTGCTTCGAATAACCTGTAACAAGTTGCCAAAAATTCGAAAGAAAAGAAAGTTTCTTAGTGTGTGAAAAGTAAAATTGATGGTCGATTTTAATTCAAATTATTATTAATTTAGTTGGATCTTATTGCTGGGTTCGTACTGACTCATTTACCCGACGCATATACCAATCAGGTAGAAAAGAGCGTTCTTTGTTTGTGAAGCACTCGTACGAGATACGTCCAGTTGTAGAATTGAAGCAAAATTCGTACATTGTAAACGGGCTATCCACGTGACCCATAATACTTTTCAAAGTGAGAAGAAATTGCTTCAAAAAATTGAAGCAAACCGATGGGTCCCAAAAATTTTGCTAGAAAAATTTATGTTGTGATGTTAACATGGATTATGGAATAGCGTTTTTATTGCTTACATTGTTTAGCGTAGGCAATGAGCTAGTTTTCATGCATTCAATATTTTGCACGAAACCTCTATCGTTACGAAGGCCTACATAGATATCTTCGATCCCAACTAAAAAAGACTGGCACCACCAGTTGCGTATTTTGTAGCGAAGGAATGAATACAATTTTCTATCAGTGACATTACCTTCCCGCACTTTGATTTCCACGAATTTCAATGGCCCCAAATTAGGTTCCTTATAATCGCTAAAAAGAGAAGAACACCTTAGAAAACATACAGCTCGCTTGGAATACAGATCTTTTTACAGAGGTACAGTGTCATGACTCATGATACCATCCATTTCCGCGCTATACAGCAGATTTAGACTCTCTAAGCGGGTTTGAAAAACACAGGCGAACTCGGCACGTTCATCAACTGGTTCGCTCACATCAGGATTTTTGGAGGGGCACTTTGACAGGCAATATTGTTCAAATTTAAAACCGTACGCGCAGAATGTTCTTTGCTGTTCTGTCGCGTAAAGCCTTTCAAACTTCGTTTGGTCAGTTTCACGTTCCGATAAATAAAATGTCCCATTGAAACGAGTCACACGTACGCACCAATCTTGCTTTGTATCGTAGGGCGTGCACATAATGCGACGCAAGAGTCCACGGAAAGCTACGAATTCTGGTGGATTTCTAGTCAAAAAAATTCTTTTATAATGATCATTAAGAAATTTTAAAATATTATCAATGTCGCCGATTCCAATGTCTTTTTTGATCGCAAGATTGAGACCTTCATTTAAATTCAAAGGGAACTGGTACGCGGCTGGTAGTCTCAGATAACGCAGCTCCCGATCATTCGGCTGAAAGTCTAGATTAGTGTCAATACTGTAAAAACCTACGGGCGAAGGTTTTTTAAAATGTGGAAAGCTTGGTATAGTTGAGGGTGGCTGCATAACACAAATACCGCTATCGTTACGGTGCATTTTGCAATTATTTTGAATTATAACAATGAGCTGGCAAGTTCCTATAAATTACAAATCTTTTGAAGGAGATGAAGTCTAGTATTTATTATTTAAAAAAATTTACAAAGTAGCGAACCTATTAGCTCACACTCATTGGAAAGTGCTGTACAAAGAAAAAACAAATAAACTAATTTCTGCTAACAAGAACAAGCACGAATCATATGTTTCGATTTGATTCGGCCGCACAGCTGGAAAACTTTTCATTTTAGTGATAGCGAAGACACAAGAACTCGGGCGGTTTATTTACTGTATTTGCGTTATCATGCATGTTCCATGTGCTTAATAGTGCAATTTTTTACTTTCTTTGCTCTCCAAATTATAATTTATAACTAGAGAAGCAAATTAGCGAACAATTGCCGTGTTCCAGCAACTATAAAGCAGGGAAAGAAATCTTACATATGTACATATATATATAAAAATATATATACAGATAGAAAATATAAGGAAAATGTTATAATAGTAATAAAAAGATTAAATAAACGCTGAAAAGAGAGACAAGCGAAAAAAAGAATAATGATGCTACCAGAAAGAAGTCGATTTTTTATTTACACTTTGGGTATATTTTTTTGGGAGGAGAACGTAGATTAACTTATTTCATTGCAATGTTGTGTAAGCTGCAGATGCTAAAAATATTGGCATTACTGAGTAAAGAATCGCGAGGTGATTTCAAAGGTGAGAATTAACTTAAATTTTCTCATTCGTTTAATGCTTTCAATATAATTTTTAAGTATAATTGTAGGGATTATTATTATTATTATTATAATTAAATCAGCTAGAGAAAAAAATTCAAAAATTAAAGTCTCAAAGTTCGCTGTTATCAAATGGAAAATCCATGATGCCTTTTCAATCTTCTTATTTTATTGTAGGTTTTTTTGGCGTAAGTTTTTAGTTTTTTTGTGTAGGTTTTCAGTTTTTTGGTATAGAATTTCTTGGTGTAACTTTTCGAATGGAAGCGCGACAAACAATCCAAGCTATATACCCAGCTCATGTTGATTTCATTAAAAATCTAAATTCTGCGTTTCAAATCTCATTTGATTTTAGACCCTTACTTTTTCTTCACTAAACCAAAGTAGGCGGACATTGTAAGAAGGTGATTTCACATCAAGCACGCGTCAGAGGAAATTGTAATGGTAAAACATTCTCTCTCCTAATAATTTTTCATACTTGTAAAATTTTACTACGAGATTTGTTATACCCGAATCTCTAATTACAATAATAAAAAAATGAAATGACTGCAAATGTCAAATGTGAGAAATAAGCACACTTGGCAACATTGATCTCAGGCCCTATTATTTTTGCACTGGGGATTTTAATTTATTAATAAATTATCAATAATCTTTATTAAAAAGTTAAACTTAATAAAGTAAATTGTAGGCATTTAAGTTAGAAAAATCGTCGTAGCAATATAATCAAATAAAATGCATTTTAAGTGGAGAAGCTGTTTAAGATTGTTGGCGGTTTTATTCACTTTTGATTGTGTACGATGCCTATATGAGGATCAAATAAAAAAATTCGATTGGTAAGTTTTTGCTAGAATTTCTTTTAAATACTTTTAAAAGATCAAAATTCTTATGAAATTAAGTTTTATATGTATTTCATAGGCGCTCTCTGCATGTAGGTGGTGTTGAAAGGGCAGATTTAGATATGAATGGTTTTCAGCCACGTCTTTTATTGAGCACACGTGAAAATGTTTTAGCATCATTATGTCCAGAAACCGGAGAATTGATGTGGCGACAAGTATTTGAAAGTGGTATTCGTGGAGATATCAAATTAATGCAAATTTCATCAACTTCAACTGCAAGTGATAATACAGCAGCTGCTAGAATTAGTTCCAGTCATGGTTTCGATATGTTAACTGTGCAAGGTCATAATCCAGCTTTAATTAGAGGCTGGAATAGCAATATGGGGCTAAGTGAGTGGGAATGGTCTTTAATGCCGCTACAAAGTGGAAGAGCTATCGATAGCTTTTGGTTTTATAGCAAATCAATGCTCTATCATATATTACCGATTTGGCAAAGTCATCTTGAAGTTACACAATATTTTGCTTCGTCAGGCCAACCCTTAGGCAACACGGCAAAAATAGCGGCATCATGGATAGATAAGGAGAAATGTACGTTAAGTGGTATTTATTATACATGCTTGGAAAAACAACAGTTAATTACATTGGATTTGACGGCGGATCAACCAAAAATCATGTACGAAGATTTAGAAAATGTGCCAGCATATCCTTTAAAAAATTTAGAGGTGAGTAATCCCACGTTTTATTGCTTTATACTGATTTAAACAAAATTCTGACTTATATATAAGGGCGCATCAGGAGTGCTTATAGTGGATAAAAAGCTTGTAGCTATTAAAAATGATATTCCAGTGTGCAAATCTTTGCTAAGCCAAAGTTATATAGTGGGTAACTATAAAAAGGAAAAAATTATAATCACTGCCGATGTGAAAGACAAGGTAATCAATTGTGAATAAGATTTCAAATTAAAAACTTGCGAAATTAATCTAATTATTTAATTTTTATTATTTAAGATTCTCCATATACAAAGTTATTATTTAGAATCATGCGAACCTTTAGCACAATTTTCCAGCACATTAAGCTATCCTGAACATTTGGGCATCCCAAATTTAAAAGCATTTGATTGTAAATCGAGCCGCAACTCGAATGACGGAAATTGTTTATTCATATTCGATACAACTGATGATTCCATAGTAGCGGTGCGACAATCTAAAATTCTTTGGATTCGATCGGAAGCTTTAGCCAATGTTGTCTCAGCTGAATTTGTTGATTTGCCCTTAACCGATAATGAGGGCGTTTTAGAGAATGAAATGAAGGGAAAAGCTGGTAAGTATCTGAGAGTTATTTTTTAATTAAAAATTTACTTATTAATTAATATCGTATAATAATGGGTGGATTTTGAAAAACAAAGAAAAATTAATAATAATTCACTAATAATTTTTATACCTGTTTTATTAAAATTTCACGCAAACACTAATATTTCAAATTATATCTAAAAACTGATAAAGACGTTCCTTTCGGTTTGGATTGTAAGTAAAGTGATTGTTATGTATCAATTTTTTGTACGCCTATATAAAACATACATATATAAATGTGTTTATATACTCACGTTATATATAAAATCACTACTTGGTTACTTAACTAAGACATGTAAAATATATTGCGCTAGAACTGAATATTTATAAAAAATATTTTTTTGAAAATTATATATTAGCGTAACGGTGAAGCTTGTTCGCGTCACTTTCATGCATGTAAACGCTGACGTAACGTTCCTATTTGCTACTACTACTCTGCATAATACTATATTGCGATCGTTTATAAAATTTAAGATTGTAATCTGTCTTACTAGTGCTTTGTGCGCTCCTATATATACATCAATGTGAAATGAAAAGCTAGGAACAACAATAGGGGTGAGAATCGTTCTCAATTAAACGTACAATTGTAAAATACATTACGATTGGAAATCGTATATGAGAATTTCAGTCGACTTTCATGGTTGAATAAATTAAGAAAATACCGATAGGCCAGACTGTAGTCACCTCTTCAGCCGAGCTGAATGTGTTCCCTTCGCCCACCTTAGAATAAATAATACCTTACGAACGTGTTCTCCCTGTCGAATGTATGTCTTGTAATGTTTTCTTCTCTGCCGGCCATATTTTATCGGTATGTCATCTATCGAAAATTAACAAACCCCTCGAGAAGGTGCTTGGCCGTTCCTAAAGAGACATGATTTCTCTTGTGCGCCTTTCCCAACGAGCAGAAAAGAGGCCTTTGACGCTTTATTTCAATTTCTCTAGCTACACAATGTAAATAAATACCTTTTCTTTTATTTATTACATTTATTTATTATTTTATTATTGCCTTTATTTTATTATTTCCCTTAATATTTTAACTTCAGAAGGCCTCGCCTACAGGCGCATGCCTTGCCTTTTAACCATTTTTTGTAAATACATGTATGGACAACAAATAAATACACACAGCTAGGATTGAAATGGTTGCGACCACGCTTGCAAATTTCGAAAAATTGATTAATCTCTTTTTCAACGCATAACGTAGATGTGAAATGCTTGCAAAATGTCTTCGTAATTCTATGAATTTCATAAACTAAATTGTCAATATCAATTCATCTTTGATAAATTGTGATCGTAGCAATTTGATGGTCAATGTCCACCGAATTATCCTTTATCCGCTTTTGATTCTATATACAGTCTACTTATTTGGTATCTAAAGTGATGGTTATTGACATAGTTATTGATCGGTTTTTATTCGATGTCTGCAATTTGTTCTCCGTCTCATCGTTTATTAGCTTTCCATGCCTTGCTATTTGTATAGATACGTATTATACGTTACAAAATTGAACTTATATTGACTTGAAAGATCTTATTAGATTTGTAAATAAATTTGCATTATGATAAAAAGCCTGCAAATTAATAAAATTATTTTTTATTTAAAAAATTTCTTTTTAATTCTCTTTATTCCTTATCATTAACCTAAAGCTGATATAATGAGTGCTTTCTTGCATCGCATAACCTCACAGATAATGCATGTGAAAAGTCTACTTCTGCACGTAATCGGCTTGGGTCCGAAACCGTCCGATACTCAACGTGCCGGTCTAGTACGTGACGCCTTCGGTTTGCATAAAATGTTAGTAGTATTAACAAGAAGCGGCAAAATATTCGGTATCGATAACATAAGCGGTAAACATCATTGGCAATATTTTCTTAATAATGTCGAAAATTTTGCAAATGATCAAGAGATGCGCTTACTGGTACAAAGAACTAGCAAACATTTCCCATTGTCGGCTTTATGTACAGTGGTAGCCAAAGATAAGGTAAATATTGATAGTATTATTAAAATTGATCCAAACAAGTGAATTTTTGTTTTGTTTTTGTTTTTGTTTTTTTTTTTCGTTAAAGTTAACAGAAAATGGTGTTTTGTTACGTTTTAATCCCATTACGGGGCAAACGTCCGAAGGTGGTTTGCTAAAATTAACATATAAAATAAAACAATTAACTCTGTTAACTGAAACGGATAATGATTTTGTTAAAGGTCTTTTAATAATCGACGCTGAAGATCGGTTACATGTTTATCCAGAGTACGCCACAAAAAAAGTGAGTAGGAAAACGTTATAAAAAAAAGGCCTTTTTCCATTTAAGATCCTTTTTCTATTGTTTTATTACCACGCAGGCAAATGGTATCTATATGTTTACTGCTCAGAAAGACCAAGCCACCTTAAATGGTTTCTTTGTACAATACGAAAATAAGGTAAAAATATATTATTTTTCTTTTATACATGCTTCGCAGAATTTGATCGTATTTAGATTCTAATACTGCAGTTTATTTATTTTCCCAGGCGTAGTAAATTAGATTTGCCATATCACTGGTAGAAATCAAAGAGAGAAAGGGAAAGAATCTCTTGCCAGAATCCGAGTCTAATAGACATGTATACTTTAATTTAACGAAATCAAAAAAATATTTTAATAATTAGGTCTTTCTTTTTGGATCAAAAAGCACGGCATTAATAAACAAAGGGAGCTAAATTATGCTTCGAAAAGCAATATTCTTCTATAGTAAAAGTACAAGTGTGAATAAATCAGCAAACTTTCTATATGTAATAATGGCAGGTCAATTTAAGTCCAATTTATACAATGCAAAGGTATTTTACGCTGCACATTCACATTGTTTTTACATGGTCTCTTTTTACCCGATTCGCCAATAAGAATAAAAATTCTTTTTTACACGAATCACAAAAAAAAGAAAAAATGTTTATTTTTCCCTTTTCTGCCTTTGCTTATCATATAATATTCTAGATTAAGAAAAACGCGAGAGAAAAAAGGCTGACCAAAAAGTAGATATATATATATATATATATATATATATAAAGACTGATGATGTTAGACTTGAGTTGAGCGCTGGATAAAAAAAGAATTGTTTCCCGTCTTTATATCACTTCTTTTCGAAGTTTATTTTGGATTTTCTTTCTTTGTTTCTTTTCACTTCAGGAGCTGACAATTTTGCCTTTGTGGAATGTTGACTTAAGTGGTCATAATGGCGATCATAAAATCATCTCATTAGCGTCGAAAAATCCTCTTGAGCGTGTTCATTCGCAGGGTCGCGTTATGCCTGATCGTTCCGTGTTGTACAAATACATAAATCCAAATCTCGTCGCTGTTTTTACTCTCGCCAAAGATGATGTACATAAATGTAATTTGTTACTTTTAAAAATCTCTGTATCTTCTTCTTTTGTTTTTTGTTTTTTCTAAATTGTATTTTTATATATTTCCAGTTCTTATGTATGTCTATTTAATTGATGTTGTTTCTGGTTCGATAGTATTTACGATGATGCATCGTAAAGTGAGGCCTCCTTTGCATGCCGTGCACTCCGAAAATTGGCTCGCTTATGCTTATTATAATGATAAAGTACGACGTGTAGAAATTAGTAAGTATTCCGTTATAAAATATAGAGCGATTACAATTATCGTATTATATCTTCACTTTTAGCTACAATCGAATTGTACGAGGGCAAAACTCAAGCCAATAGTACTGTGTGGAGTTCATTAAATGCTCCTCCGTTGCCATTGGTAGAACGCCAAAGTTACATTATGCCTGCCATGGTGGAAACCTTAAGAGAAACTATAACTGAACGAGGCATAACAAATAAAGACGTATTAAGTAAGTGTATTGACTATGCACGGTATAAAAAAAAAGAAGGTTGAATGGAACAAAACAAGACGGACCGACGGACCGACGAACTTAAATCAGTAAAATAAAAGATATCTCTACAAGCGTTGCCTGCATCTGTAGCCTTGGACTATGACTGGTGTAGGATATAAAAAAGAAAAATCATAAATCATATATATGTTTAATCAGCGTATGTAGCGATATCGGTGTAACCCTCTCTGTCTTTTTAAAGCATTTTGTCCATCTAAAAGCTTTAATAGTATGAGTGAGAAGGGGATATATCATTTCAAGTCGCCTAGAGGGCTTAAATTTCTCGTAGGATCCACAAAGCTCTGCTTTCAAGAAAAGTCAAGCATTAATGTCAAATTTATCTTCCTAGGCAGCATTCAATGAGAAGCCCCGTTTTCCTCTCTAAATGTTTTAGTTCAAAATCGAATTATAAGTTCGTTCGCTGTCGAACTAACTAACAATTTGTGATATATTTGCGTAATGTGCTTGGTGCTGTGCAATCATCGGTGCGTTCATCTGTTAAATTTATGAAGAGGCGTTTGGCGATTTTTCAAGGAAGAATGAATCCAATAGGACTCTTGTGATCCCTGTCTGTTGCCAGTTTGGCTGGTCATGTCATAAAGAACCGTTTAGTGGCGATTTAGTAGAAACTTTGGTTCGCTTTGTCTGAAATCTGATTTTAGAATTTTTCTCAACTGCAGCACTTAATTCACTAAGTTCTGGGAAAATTTCACAAGCTTGTACTCGCAATAATAACAATAGACCTAAAAAAATTGTTGTTGTTCCTCAATATCCCAGGTACTGACGTGAAAACCGATATGCAATCTATACATATATATATGTTTAAATATCATAAATACTCAAATTCGAAGAATGCCGATCAAGTCAAGAAAGAGAAATGCTTTTATTGCTATATTTTTAGTTGGTACATCTAAGGGTTCAATATTGGAATTGCCGTGGTATTTATTAGACCCACGGCGTCCTATAGCTTCTAAGACTAGTGGTCGGGAAGAAGGAGCTGTGCCTTATGTTCCTGAATTACCCATACTCACCGATAATATCATCAATTATAATCAAACCATATCAAGATTACGTTACATTCACACTGCACCCAGCGGTTTGGAAAGTACCTGTCTGGTGGTAGCTGCCGGTTTAGGTTTGTAATAAAGTAAAACATTTTCCAACTATTTTAAATTTTATTCCTTTTACCCACTTTCGAAATTTATGCAGATATGTTTGTCACGCGCATTGCACCCTCTAAAACTTTTGATTTATTAAAGGAGGACTTTGATTATTTCCTTATATCGATAGTTTTGATTGCGTTAGTGTCCAGCTCATTTATCGCCAAACATTTCGCCTCCCGCAAGATTTTGAAACAAGCCTGGAAATAGTCTCGAAGCGGTTGCCTGCAAGCATATTTGCTCGATTGTACAACTGAAACTTACTAATTACGTGTGGGACGTTGTAGCAGCATTAAATTCAATTTTAAACTTTATAGGAAAATTTTAATAAAAATACCGCCATCACGATAACAACAACAACAAACAGCAGCAACAACACAAAAATTTACGAAACATCCTCAGCAGGTTTAGTTAAAAGCAAAGAAGTAAAAAATGAAAAAAAAAAACTAACTTTAATAAATAAAAAATTATTTTTTTTTATAGGTTTTTCTTTTATATATCATTTGGTGTTTTCCATATACTTTTCTATGTTACGGTTTGTCATGTAAGATAATCGAGTTTTTTTTTTGTTTCGGTTTAATTTTTTTGTTTTATCTTTGTTTTGCGCTTTAAATGTTTTTGTGCAGTCATTGCAATTTATTTAAAATAATTTATGTTTCTTATGTATATTATATAACATATATATATATATATATATATATATATATATATATATAATTTATAGTAAAATATAAATAAATGAAACCAAGGACTGTTTAAAATAAAATAAAAAAAACAAGGCTCTGTTCGTTATTAAAAGTTTATGTGGCACAATAAGCCATACAAACACGCACACATCCAATATAACTGCGAACTGCTAGGTTTTTTTCAGTTCTTTGATTGAAATTCACGCCATTACCTTACAATAATGCCAAACGCGGAGTGGTTGTTTTTTATGATTGCATTGTGTAGTGTGATCGCATACCGTTATATGCATCCACTTTGAAATGCGACAGAATTATGCAAATTCAGCCTAATTCTTTTGCTAAAAGAACAATAAAAATTGTCACACTTCACCTGGCTGAATATTGCATTTCGTAATTCAATACGATGCCAGGCGCTCCAATTTAAAACAATTATCATTTTGATGATGTTAGCATAATTTAGTGTAATAATTTGTGTATAAATAGCCAGGCAAGAATTGAATAAAGTCAATTGTCTAAAAGCTCAAAAGCGTTACATCCGAATAATATCATAGATAGAGATTGCTTCATGCCGATCTCGATTGGCATTTCATAAAGAAGCAGATTGACTTGGCGTTCTGAAGCCGAGCAGTTTAGGAAATATTCTACAACTCCAAATTGGTCACACTTGGGAGACATTCATAGGGAATCTTCCCATGAATAAATTATTGTACACATCCAAACGTTTTTCAAAATTATTACAACTGATTCCCATTCTTCTCGCTTATAATGTATCGAAATATTACTTACGAATATATATATGTGTGTATTTATATATATGTCTTCTATAGAAGACTAACTTAAATGCATTTTATTTATTTATTTCTTTGTTTTTTCATTTGAGCAATACTTTATATAATTTTTTAATAAATAAAAATGTTTCTTAAAAAAAATGTTCGTAAAAAATAATAAATTCTATTAATGGGCATACATAATTTACTTGAAGACTAGGTAAATGATAATATGATGATGTGCTTCGTTGATGCTTTGTTGAACGGAAGATAAACATTGATTATAATAGCAATTACAGATTATAACGAAGAAAAAAGAGGATATAACTTAAAAATCGGTAACAATTTCATCTCCTTCATGACGTTTTATTGGATCACCTTTTAGTAAAGCGGCCATCATGCTGGAATAGTTATTAAAAAGAAAAGTCCATTTAATCAAATGTATAGCGCAGTGAAATTAAGACACTCACTAATACAAAGCGATGAAGAACATTATGAAATAATAGCCCAAATAGATCATTGTATTCCGTAAATGGACTTTTAATAAACCTCGACTATGTATATCCACGGGATCGTAAATACCTAAACTATCTCTTGGTTGTTTATGCAGTTCATAGCCTAACCAAAAAACCATCGGAATATTGATTAGCAGCAGCAACCAATGCCCGTCGACCAATAATAGCCCACAAAGTATTAAATGAGAACCGAATTTTGGTATAACCCAGAAATTTAAACGAGCACAACACTCTTGAGCATTGATATAATCACATTCTAAATCGGCTAAATTTAAAACCTAAAAAATTTTTACTTAACTTTTAATTAGAAAATAAATGAAAATTATAATTTTACATAGTAAATTAACAATAATAGTATGGCACCGTAAATTGCTAAACTTATGGCAAACGTTGCAGGTTCCGGAAGCATCTTATTAATTAAATTTTAAATAAATTGCAAATAAATGATTTATTTCTATTTTATTGTTTTCTTTTTTATTGTTCTATTGAAATTTTCGGAAACTTTTTAGAAAACAAGAACAATGTCCTTTTATAAGATGTACGTTTATTTATACATTATTTATTTAAAATGTTTTTTGTTTTTGATTTTCTTCTTTTTCAATAGATCTTATTAAATAATTACAGTAATTTTTTATGGGATAATAATACTGTTTTTTTTCTTCCCTCATTCCACGATATTGCTCAATATCGTTTGTAAATAAATAATATCGTACCTAGAAACAATAAATAAGTATTAAAATGATTTAAAATGTATTTGTTTCTTAAATTAAAATCTATTTAAAAACAAGTTTTAAAACAACAATTGAGATAATAGGTAATAAATTTTTATAACAACAAATAAATCTTTGATTCATTATTTCGCTTCATTCCATGATGTCGATAAGTAAAACAGCTGTTCGAATGCTATATAATGCTTTTACGCTGCATTTCAACAATTTAATAAAACAGCGCATATCGCGCAAATTTAAAATGAATCTATACACATGTTGCCAAAAGTCATCACATTCTATAATCTGGATATATTAGCCACCTTAGTACCATCAAACACGATGTCCAAAGAGAAGAAAGAAAGAAAGTTTCATCGAAATTTTGATAAGTCTTGCCAATCCAGAATTTTGAAAAACACTTTTATTTATCAAGATGTAATTCTGTTGCATTTATTCGGATTGCTTCTTGCTGCTTTTTTTCTCTACACGTTTTTACATTCGAAATAGATGAAAACATCAATGTAAGATTTTCCCTCTTGTCCGTACCGCTGTGTTGAAAACTTCATGTACGAATAAAATAGCTATTACGATATTTGTTGTTTATTTCGGTAAATAAAACAGCTGTTCAGCAAACGACTTGGAAACAAAATAACATTAAAGAAGAAAAATATAAAAACATGGGCTTACGGGTTTTAACATTAAATTTAATAAAAGCTAACAAAAATGTATTCCAAAATAATCAATGGATTAATGGTGCTCTCTTTAGAACGGTAATAGAACTGCTTAACTAATTGAAAAGATACACAGATGTATATAACAATCAGCATAACCTCTATTTTTCAATAGGATAGATTTGCAAGTACAGAGGTAAATGCCGCTCCTTTAGCTGTAAAAACGCAAAAAATTAGCAAAGCAATGAAGGCATATTTGGAAAGAGCTCATGAACATGATCAGTTCATGAAAACGCAACAATTGGAATATCAGATTGGGAAACGTCATTTAGCAAATATGATGGGGGAAGATGCGGAGACATTTACTCAAGAAGATATTAACGTATGTCAATTGGCTTTGCGCTTTGAAAAGATATGAGCTGAATTTTGATTCATTTAATAATAGAACGCTATTGAGTACTTGTTCCCTTCCGGATTATATGAGAAAAAGGCAAGGCCATCGATGAGACCACCTGAGGAGGTATTTCCCGCACGAAAAGCAGCGGAATTCGATGAAACTGGAAGGCCATTTCATAGTTTTTTCTACACAGAAAAGCCTAACTTCTTCAAAATGTTATACGTAAGATGCTTTTGTTTTTTTCAATAAATAATGATGGTTAGCAAACACCTTGTATTTAAAGGACATTGTAGAAGAGCTAAATAAATTATATGATTTAGAAGAACGTTTGCTGCGCCGGGGACAGAAAGCAGATCCTAATCAAAAGATGTGAGTTGCCAGGACCATTTCAAGAATTTTATGATATGTGTGTTTTCTCCTTTTTAGCGATTTGACCGGTTTTGCATGGATTTCAAAAGACCAATTAGAATTACGTTTGGTTGAGAGATTAGCCGATATTGAATATGATAATTTTGTTAATGTCATGAATCGTTTAATAGCGCATCCGTTCTCTTACAAATGCAAAGCATTTATTGATGAACATACTAGACCGTTAATGACTCAAAGCGCACAAGTTGAAATACCTAAACCTCAGATTGATGCCGACGGACGTCAATATATAACAACATATGGTAAAAAATAAGTTATGTTCTCTCCTTGTACTGACTTAATAAACTATGCATTTTCTCAATTTTGTAGAGTGTCTGCGTAAAACAGCTCGAGGGGACGTTACGGTCCGCGTTCCAGGAACGGGAAAAGTTTCAATTAATAGTCAGGATATTACGTACTTTGAAGATATACAACCACGCGAACAGGTAAGCGTTGGCATTTTTTCTTTACTTTTTTATGGGATTATGTCAGATCCTTCAAGTATTGGGCCAGCTTCATGCGATTCTATCTTTAAATACTTTCAAGAATAAGATTAAGTGTATTAGTGTAAAGGGATCTGTCTAAAGGGAAAATCTAAAGCTAAATTTAATCAACAGAACAGGTTTTATAGGGAACAATGAAGTAAATATTTACATATTGTGAATAAAATAATCTTCGTTTTTGTAAACCTATAACATTTTTAGTTAATCCGACCAATTATTAGAAAATGTACTTGCCTAGAAGCCAACAAAACTCTATCTTTTTTTAGCCACTTTACAATATTCCTATCAACGCTACATGTATTTTTTCTAAATTAATATTCAAAATCCCTAGTAATATTAATGTGATAATGTTATCTTTTCCCCAAAAACTTTTTTTTTGTTAAAGAGACCTTATACTCACTGATTGGAATCATCATCGGGATCTTTTTGGTAATGCAATAGTGAACCTCAAAGTTTTTAAGAAATACAAAAAAAACCTATCTCAGGATTTTAAAAGGTCCTCAATTATCTGAGACGTCAAGGTGGAAAAAGCACGCTGTCTTCTCTGTTTTGAAATATTCGTAGACGTAATATTCGGGAACTGCTTAAAATTCCTCAAAATGTTCTTTACTCTCTTGTTAGCTCTTTCATAGTATCGAACCAAAGTCAAGCATGTTATTGGTGTATTATTGGCATACATATATATATATATATATATATACGTACTGTTAATCCAAATGTGGCATTAGATGATTTAATTAGTTAACTGCGTATGACGAATATATACGTCATGATCCATTCATCCGTCTTTGTCGGATATCTTTCCAAAATTTTATCATTAAGAATGCGCTTTCACTATGACAATATGTTTATTTTGTCAAGTCGTTTCAATAAAATCTAATTTTATATTACACATACGCTGTGCTTGACGAATACACGAGTATATCGCTTAAGGAGGTCGACACAGCTAACTGGTTAAAATTTGGGTAACAAAAGCGATATTTGTGCCAAAGACATATAAATTTGTTACTGAAGGAGTTGTACAAATTGAGCTAATCGATCTTTGTGGCTTTAAAATTTTTACTTGTTTTCATTTTTTAATTAAACAAATATTTTTATTAATAACATAATCATAAAATATATTAGAAATTACAAAAAAAAAAAAAATAAAATAATAATAATAATTAATCCTTCTTCTCTAAACTTAACTAAGGCTTAAAAAAAAGAAAAAGTTCAACAAACTCTGTCGGCAAACAAACACAGCCTTAAACACAGAAAATGAAAATTGAAATGCAAATGAGGAAAAGATTTGAAATTGAATTTTTCTTTGTCTTTAAATGAAATTATAGAGTAAGAGACAATTTATCTATAAAATATACATTTGCTGTCTATAGTTTTTATTTGGCAAAGATTTTTATGTTTAATGAGGTTACTAAAACATTTAATAAATAATTATGCTTATCACTTTAAATTAATAATTATGCTTAATTAAAACTTTTCAAATATCTTGATAAATTTCTTATTTACTTCACTTACATACACACTCTCTCTCTCTCTATCTCTCTCTCTCTCATCTTCTTAGATTATTTTTTTGTTGATTCGATATCACTATCAATAATTTATCGATAACTTTGCTTGCCTGTTGTTGTTGCGTTATTAACGCCTGCCTGAGCTCTTGTATTTCTTGTGTTAAATACTCAATACGATCGGTATTATCATCAATTTTTGTTGTTAGGCTACCGATTAGTGTTGCCTCCAGATCTTCCGTAGCGTATGGTGTCGTCGGCGTTTGATTACTATCATTATTGTATTTATTTTTGTACGACAAATAAGTAGCGGAATTTTTGGCCGATATTGTATGACCGAAATGTTTACGCATTTTTCCCACTTCGTAGGCTTTCATTAAGATATCGCGTGGCAGGCGTTTCTCACTTGGATTTAAGGGTTTTACACATAGCACTACCCGATAAGCTTGAGGTGATACTAAAGCAGTATAGTGCAGTAAATTTCTTAACCATGTCGGTAGATAGCCATTAAAGAGGGCCGATTCTATATATGAAATTAGTTTGGTTTGTCTTACCAATTTGGAAAGACCTGCGGTTTTCTTAAGCCCCTGTATATCATGCACAGCTATGCCTACCAGGAGATTCATTAGTATAATTGTAACAAATAATAAAAATAATACAAATGTTATCTGGGCACTGACTTCGAGCAGGAAAGGTGGATCTTTGCCATCTGGATCATTTATGAGTAACGATAGATCCTGCTCCCCTATCATCATAACTAAAACTGAAATGAAGCCCATAAATGGATTAGCAAATGAGGAAGATGATGGGAAGATTACGCAAAAACTTATTGTGAAACCTATAAGCATGCATGAATAGGCCATAAAGAGTTTTGCGAACTCCCCTTGCACGCGCGTATACATCGCTACGTAGACATCGAATACCGGCAGTTGTCCAATCATTAGCATAAGATTAGTCCAACCCAATAGTACCGCAAATGCTCCTATATGATTTTGAAATGTATACGTTTGCTTGGTGTATATATACGATATTACAAAAACGCTTGTGATCACAAACCATTCCATTATGTTCTCCACTTGAGTGACATAGTGTTTAAATGATGAATAGCCCGTGATACCGTACAGTTTCCGAAATATTTCTACTATTGTTATGGCGACAAGGACCCACCATTGCATCTCCATAACAAATGGATTATTACGCAACATATCACCTAAGATCGATTGCTTTTGGCATAATTCCTGAGCCTGTATTGTGGTGTTATCATCTTTACTGCCGTTATAGCAATTATGAGCTAAGGCAGTGAGTACATACAATGTCAGGAATAGTACAAATGTGAAGCAGAATATCAGACGCCCTATATAATATTTACGGATCTTGCCCCATTTTATATATAGAAATGAGGAGCATAATGGATGTTCGAGTATTTCCTTTTGACCTTCATCCACGAAAGTATTTAAATAGCTTATCTCTCTGGGATGACAATGCTGCAGCAATTGGCGAAAGTCTAACTCTAATTCTACCTCTCTATTCACGGGATCTTGTGAATGATGTAGTGTGATGGCGGCATCCAATTTCTGACGTATCATGGCTACCGAAGCGGGAGTTTTACGGGTAATCACATTCAAAGCCGAAGTACCTTTTTTTGATTTAGTCGTTACATCGGCCCCATGATAGATCAGCATTTCAACGCATTGCGCTAACCCATCTAAGGCGGCTAAATGTAGAGCGGTAAAACCGTAAATATCCTTATGGTTGACGTTCGCACCCCACTGTATTAGAGTCTCTAGAATGTCGAAAGCGTTTTCCGATTTACCAATCGCGGCATGCAGCGGTGTGCGATGATCGAAGTCCTCGGCATTGGGATCTGCATTGCCGTTCCGTAATAACGATTCTACACATTCTAAACTCGATGTTCTAGCTGCTAAATGTAGGGCGGTAAATCCTCGATGATTTTTCAATTTCGCATCTGCTCCCTTAACTAATAGCAAGTTAACGCATTCAACATTGCCTTCATCTGCCGCCAAATGCAAAGCCGTTGATTCTTTTTCTCGTATACAAATTCGAACATTAGGATCGGCCCCTGGCGCTTTTAATAAAGCTTCCAAGCATTGAGCATTACCCAAATCGGCTGATAAGTGTATAGCATTGGTCCCGTTCGGTTTTAAAGAATTAACATCAGCTCCTTCATCAATAAAAATCTGTAGACATTCTAAAGCATTGGCTCTTACCGCACAATGCAATAAACTTTCCTCGCAATTTGGCTTATTTGTATCTATGCTTGTGTGCGCTCCATTATTGATTAAAAATTTCGCAGCTTCCGCTGAATTCCCAAAAGCCGCACAATGCAGCGGCGTATAGCATTTCGGTTGGAAATTTACATTCATACCCTTACCCACTAAGCAGCTTAGTGTAGATAAGCAATTGCTGAATGCTCCTAAATGCAGGGCTGTTATGCCATTTTGATCGTAAAAATTTAATTCGGCTCCGATATCTAAAAAGCTTTGCAATAAATCCCATCTTTTCAGAAATGCGGACCAAAGAAAACATAAATTCTTTTCAATTTTCGATGATGACTCGAAATGAGTTTTTGTACTTTCCGCTATAACATTACCCTGCTCGATATCCTCAAAATAGCGTATACGGCCAGCGGCGTTTTTCATTTGATCGATAAGGCTGATTCGCAAAGTGTCATTGCAGATTTGCACGCTTAATTCACTAGTGGGTTCTTCGAAGCTATCATACATACTGGGCGCACTTTCAGCCGGTGGCGATGGTCCACATTCCATATACTCAAATTCACCGGGTGTCGGATATTGGGCTTCAATCATAGCATCCGTATTATTACGCCATCTGACCATAAGGTTAGGAGGAATCGATTTAAATCTAAAAAGAAAATCAAAAATTAATCCAATGAGACGAATGGTTAAAGTTGTGCGTTTTAATTTAAGATCATCCGCCTGAGTGGCCAAGTAGCTAAGAGTCTCGACTCAGCAACTCAGTGATCGTGGGTTCAAATCTCAAGTGCGGTAGAGTTTTTAATAAAAGCCGAAAGCCTTAGATGCTAGTGCTTTAAGACTTTAGTCTTAGAATTTATTCTATATAATAATAATAATAATTCAAGATGAAATGACTGACAATTGAAGACCGGAGAGGAACACAGAATAAAACTATTCCTTCTTAAATAAGTTCAATTTGATATAAAAGGGATTAGTAGCAACGGAAGTACGGGTGAAATAAAAAAAGACAGCGATCAGTAGGGGTCAGATGGTCTAATGCACTTTAAAACGCGCAGAAGCAAGCTTCTAAACCCCCATAAAGTATATCAATTCTTGACCAGTTTCAATATTGGAATACAATTAAAAATGTCGGTTTGTCTATATGTCCGCCTGTCCATATGTCCGTTTGCCCATCTCTATAAGCAATATCCCGTTTGCAAAAATGGAGATATCCCCTGTAAAATGATCGAAGCCGGTTAAAGGGCGATCCTAAAGTGTGAACACCTTTGGTTTCCGTGTTTTTTGCTTGTTATACTGATAGAGTGCAATAAATACACCAAAAAAAAAAATGTTCACTTTTATTCGCAAAATAGAAAAAATCATTCGAGGCTACCCAATATGAGTATAAGAGAGTATGAATATTTTAATTACTTTCTTTCTTTTCATTTTGCGATGAGTATAAAAGATTCGGTCACGATTAAATATTATTGTACCCTACACCCATTGCGATACAGGGTACATTAAGTTAGCGTGAATGTATGTGCAACACCCAGAAGGGCTTAAGGTGCACAACGATCGATTCAGAATCATTTTCTAACTCGATCCAAGTTTGTCTGTCCAACTGTTCATCGTATGTCAGTCCATGCAATTTTACCTTCAAGCTGCGAGTTGCAATTTTTAAGATATTTTGATGAAATTCGGTATAGTGATGTGTTTGGACGCGTCCATCGGAAATCTTCTTTACAGAATTTGTACCACGTGGGATACCAACGCTTATAACGATTCTCATGAAACGTAAACCTTTATATGCCAAGAAAAGTCTAATTGTTAATTTTTTTGGCTATGAAAAATTTCTCATGACACATGGATCTATTTCCTCCCCCACTCTTTATAAGATATCTGATAATATCTTAATAATTCATAGGAGCATTTTAGCAAAAACAATTAACGGTAGGGAATTTGGATCAAATAGAATCTCCACTCGTATAGGTGCTATCACGAAGCAGGAAACTCTTATGTGGAGAAAAATTCAACCTCTTCTCATAGGCGGGCTTTCATCAAACTTATGGCTTCGCATGAAAAGAATGTGTACTTTTTTGGTGTATTATTATCAAAATCAGTGAATAATTGTACTATGCGAAGCAGTACAGGGTATCTAATGATCGCCATCGTCCGACTATAACATTCTTACTCATTTTGTTTTCTTAAGTAAAATTTTTCAAAAAATTTATTTTTTTTTTTTTTTTGGTATTCAATGCAAAAAGAGGGCACTTGTTTTGGTGAATCGTGTTATTTTAAAATCGGGTTAAAAAAGATTTTGAAAAAAAAAACAGAATTGGATTTACTTATATATACAATGTCCTTTTGCGAAGAAGTGGCAGTTTTTTAGATTTATGTGCCTCATATGAATGGAGACGAAATAGTGGACCTTAGACTCTAAAGATTCTAAAGGCTGTTGGTGGTGGTCTACTGTGCTATAAATATTTTGTAAACATAAAAACATGTTAGTCCTTAAAAAAATATTTGTTAAAATATTTATGTTTGTTTTAGTTCTAAAAAGGAATATTTTTATTATTGTTTTTTTTCAGTCTACATTTTGTTGTTATTATGTGATTTATTGAAAAATATTTATTTTTTTAAATTCGTTTACCGGTGGTTCACGATTTACGATATTATTATTGTTAACAAAAAATGCAAATTAAATTAACTTTTTTGCTTTCAAACAAGTATTTAACTTATTCGGAATTTTTTCACATTTTTTGGTTTTAACTTCTACAACTCTACAAACTACATTAAGTACCGTTTTAATATTGAAATTTGTTTTTGTTTATAATTCGCACATTCGTGAGGTACGTGAGGTGGACGCTGCTTGCCTATGGCAATTTTATTTAGAAATTCATTTTTGTTGTTGTTAAGTTTATGCACTTTAAAAAATATGATGGGCACAGAGGGTTGAACAGATATATAACTGCTAATATATAGAAATTAATTGGTAAAGATACTAAGTAAACTTTAGAAGAAATCTTGAAATTATCAATAAATTAATTAGCACATATGTTGGATCACGATCATAATAAAACATGACTTAATAGTCACTTAAACGTGGAGTGCCCTCCATGTAAATGTTGTTTGAATTATCGTATATCCACGGATATATTAAGCTTGTGCGGATGACTTGAGATAAATCCACCTTTTATTAGATCGGTTGATTCAAAATCACTTGTTGATCTAATGTTGTCTGTCCATCTCTCCGTCCATCCGCAGGTCGCAATTTTTGAACATTTTCAATGAACTTTGTTCAAGGACAAACACTATTCAAAATGTTTCGGAACGGACCACTTCTTCGATCACTTCCTATGTAATCCTTATATGAATAACTGTTGGGTGGTGTGGGGTATTCAATGGTAAATCGTCGCCCAATAATTTTATACCCACCATTGTAAGATGGGCGTATACTCATTTTGTTTTTTTTTTTCCTTAATAGGAAGCTTCAGAGACCCTACAAAGTATATATATATATATTCTTGCGTGAAATCCTGAGTTGGTTTAGCCAAGTCCGTCCGTCTGTGCGGTGTGTGTTCTAGCGTCCGAGACCCTACAAAGTAAATACATATATATTCTTGATTAGCGTGAAATCCTGAGTTGGCTTAGCCATGTCCGTCCGTCTGTGCGGTGTGTGTTCTTGACGATATTGGGATCGCGGTTGTGACTCGATCAAGCCAGTTTCGTGTTAGTCAATGTTACAGCATTCCACCTCAACGTTCTGGGATTGCGAGATTAAAAAAAAAAAAGCCTGGATGCCTAGAATGACGGTCATTGTCAAGTCGATTTAAAACCGTTTGCTAACGAAAGATTTTACGATGTCTGAGAAAACGTACTAGCAGACCGCTTGCGTTAGTGGATAGTGAAGATAAAAATTTATATAGACAGGGATCTATCTGTATCTGCACTTTAAACCAAGTTTGAATTCGTATTGAATTTGTTTAGAACTTTGTTTACAATAATTAAAAAATTTAATTTATTTACAAAAAACTTGAGAGTTTAAAAACCTTTTTTTTTTAATTTATGGAGACGAACAGTAAGAGTATTTGCAACCGATTTAAAGGCACTTTCTAGATGAATAAAGATTTGTAACTGATATTTCTTTTTTACTTTAACTCTTACAAATGGTTTTTTTTTTCTTAGTTTTTTAATGTTTATTTATTTTTTGTAATAGTAGACATGTTAAAAACACATTTAAAACATTTGTTTATTATTATCGTTATTATTATTTATCGATCAGATAATGATTCAAGTTAAAGGCAATGTGAACTTTTTCGGTTTTTTTTTGTTATTAAAGTTAAAAAATTAATTCTTTGAAATTTTCTCATAATTACTTTCCTGTCCTTTATAAGCATTTTTTTTGTTTTTTTTTTTTTTCTTTCTTTCTTTTGTTTGTCATTATTTTGTTTGAGTAAATTAAATTTTTGAAATTCTATTCACTTCTCAGATACTTTGTTTGAAGAAATAATTAAAATGAGTAATAAAAAATAAAAGAGTCGAAAGAAAGAGAAAGTAAAAAGAGAGAGTGTGAGAGATAGAGAGAGAGAGAGAGCACCGTACACTTTGCGCAGCCAAATTCCTGGCAGTGACCAATTTTCCGACGAAGCTTCCAATTTCATTTCATTGAACAGATTAAATTCGCATAAAATGAATTTTGAATTTTTTTGTTTTAGAAAAAAAAAAGAAAAGAAAAACTATAAAAAGCGAACTCCCATCACAACCGGTCTTATATGACCGCGTACACAGTGACTTGAAAATCAACTAAAAACGCTCATTGCAAATACTGATCAAAACAATTGACACTTCACTGACTGATATTTGGCTGGTTGTCTGGCTTGTTCGTTGGTTGGTTGATTGGTTGGTTGGTTATTCATGCATACACATAAACGCACACTTGCTTAATTACTTGGCTTACATTCTTTAGAAAATGTGAAAAAATATCACAAAAACGAAGAAGCAAACGAATGAAGTAAATGGGTTTCTAGTTTAATTCGAATTTTTTTGACTAAATCTCGCCTACGTATTGATAATCGTATATAGCTGACCTTTAAGGTTTTTAGTATGAGTGTTTCTTAAAAGTAATCCTCTTGTGGGATAAAAATTGAAATCTCATGCCCTTCGCACTATCCAACTAACCAGCTTTTCTGTCAGCCTCCAACCATTCTGACCTTTCTAACATATATATATAGACTTTATTATCTAATTGGGGACAAAATGCACGATATTAGATTTTCAGATCACACACATTGTCGCGTATATGTTAGACAAAAGTTTTTTTGACTTGCTTTAATGCCAACGTGAACGTGTAACTTCTTGCAAAGCTTTCTTCGATTCACCCCTTCCAACAAATCAATATAAATTTCTTTATTTACTATAGCCTAAGTTGCCTGTTGATGGGCGCAAAAGCGCCTAATGGATGTTAGTATTCAATAAGATCATATACATATATATATATATATATATATTCTAAAGGTTCTCATTGCAGACTTCTTGAGATGAAGACGAGACGGAATCGTGACGTGCTCGAGTAGCAAAACGGGATTAAGATCTACAGCGTGTACATATCTCGCCAAGCGAGAAAGCGAAAAAGTTTTAAAAGAACGGATTTTCCTGTGTAACTCGACAATATCATTTTCTAAACGTTCTTTGCTATTTGTCTATTGCCGACATGTTGGGAAGCAAGTGACATTTAACTGTGCCGACAGTTATTCTGTCGTAGTAAACAAGATCTCCCGACAACTATTTTTTCGACCGTTCGCAAATCCTTTCCCAAAAAAATGACATTTACGAATTGATGCTAGAAGAGATCTTAGCGATTGATTTTTCATATCTAACTGTTGGTTAGCTGGAAGACCGACCCTCCCCTTTAACATCAGCGAGGCTATTAGTGATCTAAGCAAGACTATCGCATGAAGGACGGGTAATTCAATTAAAAGTTACGTTAATTTTGACAAATGTTATATATATAAAGTCCGGAATGTAATAGTTAGTCATATGAGAGGAGCGAGAAAAGTGGCCAAGCGACATATGCACATAAATATTTTCATCACTAGTGGGGCTGGGTAACTAAAATTCTCTATTTTTTGTTTTTTTTGTAAACGGAAGCACGAGTTTATGGGGAGGGGAGGATAAACAGTAAAGATTAAGGTACAGTCTGATCAAATAACTTACGATCTCTCCCTATCTCTCTCGTTCTTCTTCTTCTTCTTCTTCTTTCTTTTTTTTGCACTCTACTGTAATTTTACTTTAAACTCACCGGTTCGTGTTATTCTCAGCTAATGGTTGTTCCGCTTCGTTTTTAGCGACTACACTTATTGAGCGCGCCATGCGTCTGGGTTTGGCGCTGCCCTCTTTATAGCCAAGGTTTTCCATTCTGAAATACGTGATGTCCTTGTATCTGTTACTAATATGATTTGACGATAGTCGTTAAGTTATTGCACACATAACATTTAGATCCAATGATTTTTAATTGTTCACAATAGATGTCATCGTATAAAAAATGCTTCTTTTCCGATTTTTGCATTAATTTCATATTCGTTAGTTACGCTGCCGATTTTCTCATTATCTTGTTTTGAGCTATTGTTGGAAGCTGAAATTAAAATAACAACAACAAAACAAAAAAAAGACAACAACGACAACAACAACAACAATAAAATGTGGATGTATTTAAATAAATTTCACAATATGGTCAATGCTGTAAAAGTTAACGAAAAATGTTTAACTTTTTTGTTAACACAAAGCACACAGAAAGCAAAGAAAACGAAAAAAAAAAGCGCAAAACTTTTTATCTATAACGTAATTTTACACATGATTGCATAAAATTAGAGTGAAAAGCAAAAAGTGGAAATTAATGTTTAATCTTCCTTCTCTTTTTTTTTTGGCTTAAATTTTCAAAAAATTTAACCAAAAATTTCCGAGATTACAATTTCTTCTTATAGTAGATAGTATTTAACTATTCCGGTTTGCGTTGCGTTCTTCAGGGTCAAGGAGTTATTAACTTGACACTTGACCGTCTTCCAAGATTGGTGGCAGAATCTACGACATTCTGCTTCGGAATGGATTACAGCGAGTGTCATGATACATTCGCCTATCCCGCTTTCGCCCGCCGGCTCTAAACAATCTCTTAGTACTTCAGTAATAAAGGGTTGCTATAGAAATGATGGAGATCGGCCTTTGGTTACGATTGTGTGCCGCTCTTCATCAGTAGCAAGCAAAAAATCCGGAAAGCCAAGCTGTTCATATCGTAAATACGTCGGCAGACCGTTTTGGATCAATTGGAAATTCGGGCACATGGATGGGCAGACAATATGCTTAGCTTCTCAATTTGATTACATTCTCTATGGGGTTTTTAAAGCTTGGTCCTGCACTTCATAAAGGTATGAAACAGAAATTAAATTTTCTTATACTAACTATAATACTACGTAGGCATGGTAAATTTTTCGCATTATGTGCAGGTACTACAGAATCGCCCCATAGAATGTACGGTTAAATTTTTGTACATTTATTTGCTGTAGTTTATGCGTAACGAGGAGAAAATCTATTTTTCACATCTTTTTGAAAAATAGAAATGTTCTCAAATTACGTGGGCGTGTTCTTGACCTTGGATCACTTTCAATACCAATCTGTGTGGAGGAACTATTCCACTATTTTTGCCGAATTTAAAGACGGTAGCATCATTTTTGCGATCAGGAGATTGGCGCGCTGTTCAGATCTTATGTCGAGAAAACCCAGCACAGTTCGTGCATTGTGGACAACTGACGGTGCGTTACGTATTGTCGAAGTCGAGCGCTCGGACTTACTGACGCAACTAGATCACACAGCTCCTTTTAACGTAAATAGTACGCGTAACGTATTTACAATAGGTGAAATAGTACTATAATAATGTGATTACAGATTTTCTGTTTCGATTCATTATACCTATTTAGGTATGCACCAAATTTAGAAAAGTGAAATAGTAAATCGAGATTAATTTTTCACTTACTTTGTGCGTTGCTTCGTCTAAACACACAATTATTAATAATGAAAAGAATTATTAACTGAAGAATACGGAAGAATACGTCCGATCACTTCGCAAACTGTAATAAATGTGACGGAGCAATGAAAAAATGGTATTTCTCGACATAAAATTAAACAAGCGCTTTCGCGCTGCTTGGGTATTTTCGTACAAATATAGGGAAAGCAAGATCGCGCTGTTTGGGATTCTTCGAAAGTGTTTTTTCAATACTGTCTGGGACTCAAACGATTAAATTGATTCAGAATTTGGTGCTGATAAAGAATAAATATATTTCGTGGGGTCTCTGAAGTTTCTTACCAGCCGTTGCAAACGTTTTGCGAAAATGAATATGCTCCCCGTCCTTCCGTGATACCCAGGAACAAAAGCTTCCCAATTATGTTCAGCATTAGTTTGCATTAGTGTGCAACAATCTATTGTCACAAGTTTGTTTCTCATTTTGATTTTCTTCAAATATTTCCAAAATTAAAGGAACGTGTGTGCCTAAAAGACAAAAGGGCTTACATTCATTTGGTTTGTGACCGCGGGAAATAGTCGTTGAAGTTCCTATAAGGCAAGTTTCGATGTATTTTTACATATTTTTGAGTATCGTATTTCGAAACAACTTCAGTGTTTATCCATTTCATCGTTGATTACCGAAGTCGGAATTGATTTCGGTCTCTGTTTGTACATTCTTGACTATTGGACGCTAAGATGAAATGATTTCATCTTTTTTTAAATCAATTTTGAGATCCATATATATATCCTTTCCGGCAATTTATGCTAAACCTATTTGAATCCCGCCTGTGCATATTCTTGATTATTGGCTTTTTAGGCGATCGTTATGTTTCAGTTCTAACGTAATTGCTATGCTCGCCTTTTCGTCAGTCCGTGTCCACTGTCGCAGTGGAATTCTGACTATCGTAATAATTGAAATAGGAAGCTGAATTTCATCTCGGACTCGACAATGGCATGGACCGCCCTCTGTTATGTTAATTTTGAGGAAAAAATCTCTAATACATAATTGACAACAGAGCAGGTACTAATCTAACGTCCTGTCATCATATGGACATTAGCATAAAAGGCTAGACCTTGACGCAAGCGTCCTTGGCTTAAAATCAAACGCCAAGGTGGGTGGCTTGCAATTTGTGTTACGCACTCTCAGCTTAACACAGATAAGGCGAAAGACGAAAAGCGATCGGCTTACTTGTAGAGATTAGGCACTGCAAAGGTAAGGCCGATTAAGTAGTGCACGTTCTTTGTTAAAGTCTCTGAAATTGAAATTTGAAAAACTTGATGATGCACGAAGAAGTATCATTTGCAACGTTATACATTTCAGCAGCAGCGTTCTTGTGCATGTTCCAAGCGAAATTCGCAAAATTCTTTTGAGGTTATGTTGCAAAATTTCGTTTTCTTACTTTTCTTTCAATTTCATTTTGAAAACAAAGTAAAATTGAATTAAAATTTTGGCTTTCTTTGATCGGTCAAGAACACGCTTACCGTACCTCGCAAATTGAGAACACCTCTGTTTTTCAAAAGAAATAAAATATGGTTTTTTTTTGCTCATTACTCTGCACTACAGCAAAAAAAAAAACTATGAAAAATAAGAACGTATACGCTACGGTGGATGGTGTCCTGAAAAAGATCGACCATCGGTCAACTGAATTTTGTGAAGAGTCATAATTTCATTTGTTTTTTCAAAATGTACATAGCACGCAGAAGCAGGCTTCACCCGAAACCCATAAAGGCTATTTTCAAATTTGGAATGCACTTAAACATGTCTATCTGTCCGTCTGCGCAAGTGTGTAGTATCTGTGATACACTTTCTCCTATTCGCAAAAACGAAGATAACGGCTGAAAGTGTGCAAAAGAATTTGAAGATGATCCGAACTGGGCAACGAACACGCTCATCCGCCTACGTGCCTACTGTGTTCTAAGCACCTTTGCATTCCGTCTTTTTTCCTTGTTTACTTATAAAGTGCAACACATATCCAATAAAAATTTCCATTTTTATTCTGAAAATAGGAAAAAGCAGCCGTGCCCACCCTATATTATAAAGTATGAAACTTTGGTT